CCAAGAGACAAAGATGAAAAGTCCATTTCATGATGAATGAATTCCTCTTGTGCCGGTGCCCAGTTAGAGTATAATGCTTTTGTGAAGATGTGTGAGTAAATGTGCTCATTTCCTACAAAACTGGTCACCTGAGAGGTTCTTTTCCACACTGAGTCTTGCCTGACAACACTTCTGTTTTAAATCCAAATCATATTTGCCTGACCTTGTGAGTCACTTAGGTTCTGTGGCCTCCAAATTACTCATTTTCACATAGCTACTGACAGATCAGGTTAATCACACACACAAAAAGAACATTTGTTCTCTGGCTGAGTGGATTGAACCACTTTCCTTTTTAAGGCAAATGCAGCCCAAATTCCTGCTCACATGGGACTAATGTTGCTTTGGGTCCCTCTGTGATTGGTATTATTTTCAGAACTTTGTGCTCTCAATCCCATGCAAATCTGGCCTGTCTATAATGCCTAACAAAAGATCCAAAATATCTGACATCATCCAGGAAATTGTCTCCTTTTGGTGTAAGGCTGTATCAATGAAAAACAATGAACTGTTGATATGTAGGAGTAAATATAAATGTTGTTTTATAGAGGAATGTGAAGATCTAAGCAATCCCATCCCATCAGCTCTCAGGTCAAGTGCTCAGAGGCTCCACCGTGAGGCAGGCAGGGGAGTGATAAATACCCATTTCATCCTCAGCTGGTGTGTCAGCACCAGCCTGGTGGTCATGGGATTCTCTACAGCAGAAGGTGAAATCTGTTTGCAGTGTGCTGTTTTTGCCTGCAGCTGCAACTTTATATCTAATGAGCAAGTGAAGCTTTAATATTTACGTCTTTGTGTTGGCATCTAAAATTATCATTATTTTCTTTATAACATTATGTTGTTTGATGGGGTCCAATTTTATTTTTATATTAAAGTACACATTTTTATTAGATCACAGCAATGCATTGTTAGTCAGATCAACTCATTTAATTTGAAATGAATTGCTTTTAGGACATTTTATTTTTTAAATGAATGTATTTGCTTCAAAGGGGTAGTTCAGATCTTTTGATGTGGGGTTCTTGAATGTTAGAAATGGCTCTTTAAACAAGTTTGTCACAGGAATAAAAGATAATTGTTGAGGTAATTAAATATTGAATACAAAGCTTTTTGTTGTCTTTACATAGCAGTTCATAGATAAGATTTTCATAGCCTTCTTAATACTGTAAATGTTGTATTACAAGTTTATTCTAGCGGAAATAAGTGTCCCAAGACTTTGTGTACTTTTTGGTTATTTGTTTTCATTTAAAAAAAGAAGATAATGAAAGGCTATTGAAAAATTAAAAAATATGTATAGTATACATAGTAAATACTGTATAGTATGCACTCCAGAAATGGAAAAATTGCCTGTCTTTTTATTTTTGTCAAACTGAAAGTTTATCACTGTTTTCATGGCAACCCACCGCTGTCCTGTGGAACCTGCTGTGGCTTTAAGTTCCTCACCATGGATGACTTGGAGAAAGGCTTCATATGCTAAAAGCACCAGAAGCTCCAGGAAACTGTTAAAATCATCAGTGATAAACAAACTATCAGCTGACACCTGTTAAAGGGATGTAGAACTAGCTAGTTAGCATTTATTGCAGCTAACTGGTTAGCTAATTATAAAGTAAAATATGCATAATCATCCCATAACAGACCATTTAATTTAGAGCTAGATAAATATATTTTGAAAGAAATTAGATAGACTAGCTATATTACAAAAATATAGTTACAGTTCATGCAGTTTGTTAGTTAAAGAAAAGCAAAAGTAGCTACAACTACCTGCTTGTATTTGCACCTGCAAATAATCATAAACAGAAAGATAATGCTAAAATTGGAAAAACCTATGAAATGATGTTTGCACAAATCACAGCTTTTTTTTTGTTTTGTTTTATAGGGGCAATATCATGTAAAATCAACTTTGTTGAGTTTTATATCATGTTATAATGTTATACTCTCATAAAAAACATGCCCAAAGCCTTGCTTTGACTCATTCATGCATGTTTGAGAAATCCTGCAGCGTTTTTAGGAAGCCATGCTGAGGAGCAAAACGACAGGTGGGGACCAGAAACGCCTTTTGGTACCAGAAACACCCCTGGGACGTGTCTTTAAGCTGAACTTCCTCATGGCAGAGCACCCCATCCCTCCCCACTCCCCACACACCCCGCCCATGACTCCTGCAGGCTCTCAGGTGAAAGTGAAAGTGAAATTTAAACTGTCTGCTGAGATCCACTATTTCTCACTCAGTGAAGCTCTTTTCAGATTAAAAATACCTTTTGAGAAAATGTATTTTCAGATGCCAAGTAAACTGCATCATGGGGGTGGGGGGGGGGTCACACGAAATGGGTGAGACAGAAGCGGAAGGTGGTTCGTAAAGAGACAGAGGCCATTATCAAGGCATTTAAAAGAGGACGTGATGAGAAGATAAGTTTATTTTCTATTTAAACATAAAAAACAGCATTTTAATGACAACTAAATGTGACATAGATACTTTATTATGGTATAGTATTTAAATATATGCCTGAGAAACACATAATATTGCACCTTTAAGATGTAGCAATCCAGCTAGTCAGCTCATCAGTTTAGTCAGATTTAAACAATTTCTTTAAATAAGGCAGTTAAAAAGCACTTTCTACAACAATTAGGATATTTGTTCATAACCCTTCAACAGAACTCTATTTAAAAAATCTGAACTACCCTTTCTAAAACCCATTAACTTTTATAGGATTTTGAATGCTTGCTTTCTGTTTGCTGATAATTCAACCTCTTTGGTTGGGACAGATGTTTGTGCTTTTATTTTGTATTTTTTCTTGCAGAGCTTGGCAGTGTATAACACTCTTACATCATAGATTCAAGCGTAATGACGCTAACACAATGCTATTCAAGGGCTTTTCAAGACAGGCCGCAGAAACATGATCAAATAAAGCTTACATAACCTGTATGTGTGTTCCCATTTCCCGCCCTCTAGGCCAGATTAAGAGTTTTCTCTTGTGTGTCTTTGTTATTGCCTGTAGTGGATTTGGATCAGAATAAGGGTTTTGTTCCAGACTGGAAACGCAAGATAAACCCAAATGTCTGCAGGCGCTTCATCCACACACACACACAGTTTCACTGCATGAACCTTGTCCTGCTTCATAGCCCCGCGACCTGGAATATGAAATGTCCTGCCAAGTGTGACCCAGACCAACTGCAGCAATAAATTTTCCCAATCATACACGCTGTCTGTTCTCTGAGGCATTTGCTTAAACAATGTCTTTTTTCTTATATGCGTTGGTTTATTGTGAACATTGCCCACAAGAAATTTTCCACGTTGACTGAGTTCTGTTATAGTTTACGGGCAGGCTTGTTGCTGTCCTATTTAGATTTCAAATGCTGAAGAGGAAAAAAAATCAACAATAAGACATCTTTGTGTTATCAGTGTACATATCAGGGTGCACTTTGTGTGAGGAATGAAAGCAAGTATTGATTTTTAGTTCTTGTTTTGCAGCTGGATGCAGCAAAAAGGTTTTGAGAGATTAGGATGATTGGTGTGGTGCTTGTGTTTTTAGATGTAGCAACCCCATCCGTGTGTTGCAAAGATTCTGGACCCATTTATTTTCCTGCAGTCCTAATGTCCACTGCATCTTGTGTTGATTGCAGCTGCAGACATCTCTCTCTAAACCTCTGTTCTTGTCACTCATGCTCAGATTTCCTGATTCTCCTACTGTCTCAAACTTATCTGTGCCATTTCATTCAATTTCCCTTTGCAAATATCTTCAATTTCAAATAAATTGGATAAAATTACACTTTGAGTCATCTTGTAAACTTTGTTGATAATGGAGTTGTCAGATTGTTTGACACCTCACAAGCATTAGGGCGACAAAAAAAAGCACCTCTGTTAGAAATGCAAATTGATACAAGAGAAAATAATGTTAGTCAGCCACAACATTGTTGGACTCGTATTAACCTTACAGCTCTAAGCATTCAGAATGAACAAATGGACCCCAGGGGATGTCTGGTAATGTCTGGCACCAGGATGCTGGCAGGGGATGCTTCGAGTCCTATGGGACGCCGATTAGAGCCAGGAATTAGGCTAACTCTGGAACGATGTTCACTCAGACAATGTTTCTGTTCTCTACTTGTTTCTCAGGCTAAATCTGAGGAGTTTTTTTGCAATAGTTAGGGTAGTGAACAAATGCAGTTTGGAAGCGTTCTTCATTTGGTCTGATGGCAGACATGATCTGAGCCAGTTTGGTAGTTTGTGGTCTTTATCTGACAAACTGGTTACTTTTGGCTCCACACTCACCCAGTATTAACAGCACTATCCAAGGCTAAATATGCACCAGGGGGGTCGCTGCCAATGTGGGCCACATTTTGGCCAAACAGGCTTTGCTTTCTGTGAATGTTGAGGTGGGTGGAAGATCCTACAGCATTATGCCTAGAATCCTTTTTCCAGCAGTTGAAAAATAAGATGGTTAGATTCACATCTCAGTGATTTTGTGGTTGATGTTCATTCTAAAGTATTGCAAACCCATCGAGTCAGCTGCGAGATCCTAAAACAAATTAACCGTCATGACTTTTGAATGTATATTATCAAATGCCAATTTAATTTTTCTTAACTGCTGGCCTCAGCATCCACTGCCACGTGTATTTTAATTTAAACTTCAGCGTTAAATTTTACTCTTTTTTAATGAGGAGATAAGATAGATTACGATAGAGTTGAATCTTGATCAGCGCACGCAGGCAAAGCAATGAGTTTATCGGTTCATTCTTGTCCTGATGTGAGCTGCTTTGATGCATCAAAGCTGGATCAGACTTCAGAGGTGGAAACATAAAAACTCTAAAATGCAAAACAGCCTCCTGACACGTGCTTATGAGAAATATTGAGTTTCGTTTTTATTTCAAACTTTTCTTTTTTTCCAGTTTCCTGTTTGTCCTGCCCTCACTGTTCTGCCTTCTTCTCTTTTCTGATTTTCCTTCCTTCCTCCCTCCCTTCCTTCCTTCTTCCTCAGTAAAACCATCAAGGTGAAAATAATTGACGACGAGGAGTACGAGAAGAACAAAACCTTCTACATTGAGATTGGGGAACCTCACCTGGTCGAGAGCAATGACACCAAAGGTCAGAAAGAGGGTGAGCCTCGTGGACCCCCACCCCCATTTTGAATGTTGATCCCCCCCCTCTCCCACTTAAAGCCCCGGAGCGTCCGCCACACTGCAGCGGCTGCATGTTCTGAACTCAGGGAGGCCTGCAGGAGGAGATTTGGCTTTAAATATTAATTTCTATGCACCTTTTCCTCTCCTCCTGATGTGCTGATAGGGAACATGCAGCTTGCTGTGGGTCACCTCATCACACCACATCTACCACTCCACTTTTTACATGTTTTTGTGTATATACCTCATCATGCCATTTTTTGTTATTTTGTTTATTTAGTTTGTTTTGTGCATGCATTCACCACCTCCCTCTGTGTGTTTGTGTGTGTGTGTTGTCTCATACAGGAAGACCATATCCATTAGGATCTTAGACCGGGAGGAGTACAATAAGCAATCCTCTTTCTACGTTGTGCTTGAACCCCCGCTGTGGATACGCAACAAAAAAGGACAGACAGGTGTGATGACCAATCAGCTCTGAGAATACATTAAATGAGGGTTCAGTAAGTCCTGAATCATTAGGGTATTCCCAGAACTAAACCACAGTACTTTATAGTCTTTGAATTATGAGATGGTAATTCTCACATTCAGATGGTCATATAAAGATTCCAAGGAAGACTCGATCACAAAAATGCAAATTATATACAATATACATTATATAAGTACTGCCCAACTAATGCACAATTCATGGCTTCAAAATGATTTTAAATAATACTGTGTCAAAGTTCTGCTGCACACCATTAAGTTACTTTTGTCATGAGCTGACACAATTTCCAAAAGTGTTAAAATGTATGACATGCTTTATTTAAACACAGCACAACTACTCTGCCAAAACTGTCCATCTTACCAAGTTTTAAAATCTTATATCCAGCCAAAAAGTCTTTTTGATCTTGTTTTGAGACTGATTTACTAAACAAGAACTGATTGTGTAAGAAAGTTATCTTGTTTTCAGAATGTGTAAGATTATTTGTCTTGTTAGTCTGAAAATTTGACTCAAATTAAGTCAAAATTTTCTGCCAAAATTTTTACTTGGTAAGATTCTTGAAATACTTGATTTGACTCAATTTTTTCTTATTTCAGTCTCAAAACAAGATCAAAAATACATTTTGGCTGGATATAAGATTTTAAAACTTGGTTAGGTGGACTTTTTTTGCAGTGTACTCAATGTTTTAATATGTTTTTTTTTTTAATTTGTTGTTGCATCATGAACTGGTGAATTAAAGTAATTTTAACAATTAGTGAAAAGAACAAGATCTTTTTACACAGTCTGGACGTATTTACGCCTTAAATTGTGATATTCTACGAACCGAGCTAGAACCAAGTGTATAATTTGAACTCATAAGTTTAACTGATTAACTTGAGTATTTATGCCAAATCAGCAGACATATTTTATAGGAATTGATCTCTGCAAACTTCTTCATTTTTTGGCAGTTCCTAAATCAAAACATGCAGCTTTTTTCAGGAAGTAAGCGCTGTGATTTTATTTTATTTTTTTATTATTTTTACTTTTCAAAATATTTATTTAGGCCTACATATATTTAGATAAATATATTTAATTATTAAGTATTTTCTCCATTAAAAATAATAATAATAAAGACAGGGATCTCCTTCAAAAACATGTCTGAAATCTGCTTCAGCATTCTATTTTGTCTTCTTAGGCTACCACTTCCCAGGCTTTTAGCTAGCCTTGTTATACTCTGCGTTCAGAAAGCCTTTAGCTTCTAGCTATAGCCTTTTGTTACTTTTACCTTGTAGATAGCATTTAGCTTCTTTTAGCCTTTAGCCATTGTGTTGCTGCATTTTAGCTCATGTTCTGCTTCTTTAAGTTTTAACACAGTTTCAGCTGCTCTAGTAAATGTCAGTATGTAACATTCAGCATTCCCACTGCACTTTAGCGTCCAACAAGAATAATTTGTCATTATTTTACAATAAATAATACTGAATACTGCAGTACACTAGGAAAAGTGGTAGAAATGAGAAAAAATAAATTAAGTATTACTTTTCTGCATTAAAATGCATAAACACATAAAGCTGGTCCCAGCAGAATTCTTAAGAATGGGTGATGATGAAAAAGTTCAGAAACAAACATCTAAAAAGATTATAAAACATATAAACAAACATATTTTACAATTTTAACTTTTTTATAATAATTGTAGGTGTTACATCACAATTTTGTTTGTCAACTTTGTGAAAAGAAATACCAAAACAGAAAACAAGACATGATATTTATTTCCACTAAAGTGTCCCAGGAAGAGTACAAATCAAAAATTAAATCAAAACCGAAGGGAAATTTACACCATCTTTTTCTGAATGAGAAAATGGAGCGTTATTTGCATTCATGCATAATTCAAAACCCGAATTACCAAGCCTGTTAATCTGGGACTTCCACTAAATTCTAGATTAATACTGTTCTTGCTTCTGTATGTACTTCTTACTTCCCTCTTTTGCCTTTTCTCAGAGTTAAGTACAAGCAGGAATCACACCTGTCTGCTCTTTTCTTCTTTCTTTTTCCCTCCCTCAGGGTTTTCCCTCCTCATCCATTCAAACGTTAAAATCTGTTCTCTGCTGTGGTTTGAAAATGTCACAGCTTCCTTCAAAATGCTTGCAAAAAGTGGAATCATGAACGTTTGAGATTTTAAGAAAAGATATTCAGAGGTCATATCCAGGAGTGATTTCTTCTAATGTTTGACTAACATGTGAGTTGTATTTGGTAATATTTTGAGGCGAAAAAGATCATGGAAAAAACGTTTTTTTTTTTACTAGAATAAATGAATGAGATTAAATGTGCTTACTACGTGACAGTTTTGCTGCACCTAGTGAAGACATTTCACTGTTTTTTTCAAAACCGTTAAGACACTAATAAACAGTTACAGCAAGGAGTCAGTTGATAAAGACTAATATTAGCAGGGTAAATACAGAATGAAAGCAAATAAACTACTAAAATAAACAGTTTCTGCAAATATTGGATGAGATCGAATAACGGTCATTTTAAAAGTGAATCAAAGCTGTTTTAAATCCATCATTTGTCGACATAAAATGAGTTTAGTTTAAAACTCTAACACTGAAGGTGCCAGGTGATGTACATATCAGAGAAAAAAATGGTTTAAATTTTATTTTGGTGCTGCGTTTGTTTCTTGTTGCATTATTCCAGTAGATTTCCCTCTTAATGTTACTCTGCTGGATTAAAAATAATATCCCCAACTTTATTTAATTTAGGCTGATCCATAAATTAACAAGTGTTAAGTCAGTTCTGATCCGGTTGCTTTCTAAAAGGACTTTTATACCATTAAACTCAACTTACCGTTTTCTTTTTTTCCCCTTAAACTCATTAAACTCTCACACCTTCCAGCTCAGTGCTGTCAGTGTGTTAATGGCAGAATGTGTTTACCAGCCATCAGCAGTGGTTATAGTGATCAAAGACAAAGGCTGGATCTTACATTATCACAGTGAGGGGATCAAATACACCTCAGGGGCACACAGACAGATGCACACAGACTGCAGGCTGCGGTCGCTTTGGGTCTGTTAATGAGTGTGTTTTATGAACTTGTGGTGGTTCTCTCTGCTAAATAAGGCCCACATGCGTCTTTATGGCCTTGTTTATTTTTTTATTTATTTTTTTTATTTTTGAGAGGTTTTACACTTATCCATCTCATGTGAGTTCATTTAGGACAATGTTAATGTTACTATTTTTTAACAAATTTTGTCTGAATATGGTTAATCTTTTTTTAATTCTTATCAAACATGTACAGAAGCATATTGATGTCACAAAAGAAAGTATTTTATTTCACCTTATCAAGTTTTTACAGTACAAATGTATTGTACAAACATTATAATTACATTGTATGAATGTTATATTATATAATTGACATTTATACAGTCTAGTATCATGTTTGTACAGTATACTTATATAGATACACTCACCGGCCACTTTATTAGGTACACCTGTCCAACTGCTCGTTAACACTTAATTTCTAATCAGCCAATCACATGGCGGCAACTCAGTGCATTTAGGCATGTAGACATGGTCAAGACAATCTCCTGCAGTTCAAACCGAGCATCAGTATGGGGAAGAAAGGTGATTTGAGTGCCTTTGAACGTGGCATGGTTGTTGGTGCCAGAAGGGCTGGTCTGAGTATTTCAGAAACTGCTGATCTACTGGGATTTTCACGCACAACCATCTCTAGGGTTTACAGAGAATGGTCCGAAAAAGAAAAAACATCCAGTGAGCGGCAGTCCTGTGGGCGGAAATGCCTTGTTGATGCCAGAGGTCAGAGGAGAATGGGCAGACTGGTTCGAGCTGATAGAAAGGCAACAGTGACTCAAATAACCACCCGTTACAACCAAGGTAGGCAGAGAAGCATCTCTGAACACACAACATGTCGAACTTTGAGGCAGATGGGCTTCAGCAGCAGACGACCACACCGGGTGCCACTCCTTTCAGCTAAGAACAGGAAACTGAGGCTACAATTTGCACAAGCTCATCGAAATTGGACAAGAGAAGATTGGAAAAACGTTGCCTGGTCTGATGAGTCTCGATTTCTGCTGCGACATTCGGATGGTAGGGTCAGAATTTGGCRTCAACAACATGAAAGCATGGATCCATCCTGCCTTGTATCAACGGTTCAGGCTGGTGGTGGTGGTGTCATGGTGTGGGGAATCTTTTCTTGGCACTCTTTGGGCCCCTTGGTACCAATTGAGCATCGTCGCAACGCCACAGCCTACCTGAGTATTGTTGCTGACCRTGTCCATCCCTTTATGACCACAAAACCGTTACTAGCGTGGTGTACCTAATAAAGTGGCCGGTGAGTGTGTATTTTCACTATATTTTAACATGATAATATATTGTATTATTACATGTATACAATATATTATCATAGTTGTACAATAAACTATCATATTTGTACAATATACTTAAATTGTACAAGTACGTGTTCAAAAATGTATTTTCTTCCATGACTTAAATATACTTCCATAAACATGTCT